GGCTGCGACGCCCGCGAGGCGGCGAGCGGGCGCGCCCGCTTCACGCCGCTCTTCCACTTGCCCCTCTTGGTTGACCTCGCCTCGCCTCCCGCCGCCGCTGCCACCTCCGCCGCGTGCGCCGTCGCTGCCGTAACCGCGGCCCGCGGGATCTTGATAAGGAGGCGTTGCTTCGGCATGAGCAACCCCGACGACGCCGCTCTCTCTGCCGGTGCTGCTGACGTTGGGGCGGCCACGCCCGTGACCGCCGCCGTCTTGTCTGCCGTTGCTGCTGCTGCCGCCGGGTCGCCAATAGGCTCCACCTTGATCCCCAGGTCTTCGAGCTTCGGGAGCTTGCCCCCCTGCGGCACGCTCTTCGGCCTGACCTTGCGCGACTGAGCGGCGCTCTCCTGCGAACGGGAGGAAGCGTAAGCGAGCGGTAGGCAGCGTGAGCACCACGGTCCAAGTCCGGAAAAAAAAAACGAGCGTTGCCAGACATCCATTGGGGGTGTCGTCAAGACTTGGGGGATTAGCCCACACACCGGTGATACATCGAAAGGTCAATCAGTAGAAACTTGCAAGGGTCATACTCCAAACTACAACCGCCCCACGCACACACACGTGGTATGTACCTGCTTGGCCGAAGGGTGAGACCTCCTCTTCGGCCGGGCGAGCAACTCCGACTGCCGCGCCTCCACGCTCAGGGCCAGCTGCTCGGCCTGAGCAAGAGACTGCGCAAGCCGGTCCATCGTGTCTGCTTGCAACGCCTTCACGTCTTGCTCCTGCCCTGGCTGCTCTTGACTTTGCTGCTGCTGCTGCTGCTGGATCTCGACCTTCGCTTCAGAGACGCACGTAGCGACCGGCGGCGTCAGTTCCCGACGTGGGACCGGAGCCCGGTCCTTCTCCGGCTGCTGCGGAACAACCGACCACAGTTCGCCGCCGCCGCTGTGCCCCACTTCCTTGCTACGCGTCGCGACCCCGCCGCCAGGAACGCAGGTCATCGCGTGCCTTGAATCAACCACCATCATCGGCGCCGTGCCCCCAACCGGCTGCAGATTGGGCGCGCCGAGGGAGGCCTGCCGTGGGTCCACGTATTGCTGAAGTGGCATCGACGGTGCCCCCACCACCGTCGCCGCGTCCGCCTCTCCGCTGCCCACTCCCGACTCCGTCGCCACCATGACGCTCGCCACCTGCTGCTGCTGCTGCTGCTGCTGCTGCTCCTGGTGTTGGTGCCCGAGGTAGCCGCTCCCGATGGCGCTGCTGCCGCCGGAGAAGGAATCGACGGCGACGGCGTCGGCGGAGGCGACCGGGTTCCCGCCCGTGTGACCGCCTCTGGCCTTGTCCCCGCAACGGCAGAGAGCGCTCGAGTCGACGGCTGCCAACGCCGCTGCTCCCACGGCCTCCGGAGACGAGATATGCGAAGCGTGAGGGGACGCACAGCTGGGACAGGGGTCTCCGCCCGTGTCCGCGGGAGGCGTGCCGGAGCCCGGCGACCCGTTCCCTTCCGGGGGCGCCAGGTTAGGGTCGCGCTTGAGGCGGAGAGGCGCGCGCCCTGTAGTTTCCGCTGTGATGTTGGACTCCTGCTATGACCCATGTGTGTCGTGGAAGAGAACAAAAGAATCGCACCCTTGGTTAGCAGCGACATACGAGGTAGAAGCAGTCCATACAGTGGACCTTTCAAGATGAGAAGAGATGCGGTGTTCATGCCAAGGATGTGCACGGTTCAAGAGACCGGAGGCGGCAGCTAGGGTGGCATCATAGGATATACCATGGTATATTTGCAAGGAACCACAGCAGCAGATATAGCAATACGTAACACGTTGCACTGGCTGTTTCGTGGTGACCAGGACTCTCAATCAACAACGTCGTGCGACGAAACCATGATCCACATCGTAGTTGCTCCTGACTTCAACCGCCGTACTTCTCGCACACGCAATCTCGTCTCAAAACGAACTCGACAGTTCGCTCCTCCAAAACAAGGAAGGACAGTAAGCAAATTCGGTACTCGAGGATCCAACCGCCAGACAGCGGGTAGGGGACGGTGTGATGTGTTCCATACTACACAGTCACCGCTCGGGAAGCGTTAGCTTTCCAATGGCCGTGACCCTTCGAGAAGGTTGCTAAAAACTGGTTCGTTTCAACAGAGCGCGTGGCTGTCATCGAAGATTGTGGGAGAGGTGTAACCACGAAAGCTTTTGCGCTGCGAAGCTTGAAGCGCTGCCGTTTACGGTATCGTCCATGAGTACGAAGCGCAAGGGAGCGATTCTTCCTCTCACCAAAGAGACTATTTCCAGTTCCCCGCGTGCCCCCGTTCGGACACATTGGACACACATGCAACCGAGTGTGCATGTGAAGGACGCTTTCATCGAGACTTCCGTCATAACGATCATCACCACTCTCATCCACCCGGGATAGCGGTGCTGACTGACTACAACGCTAGACGCCTGCATGTTTCGTGTGAAGTCTTCACACGTGAATGGAAGACCGTTCGTCGCAAAACGGCCGAGAGCTGCCGCAAATGGCGGCAGCGGTAACGCTGAGTACTCAGCGTGTGCCGAGTGGGTGTTTCTATAACAAGCATCGACTGGTCTATACGGCGTACCCAATGAAAACACGTCATATAGTGGGACACGAACGCGTACAACTTTTCAATGATGAGGGGCGCGGGGGGAGGGGGTGTACGAGTCAGTCCAGCCTGCGGATTTTAGAAGCCCAAATGAGTAACTGACTCAACGCGTCTGCCTGTACTAACATTGCAGGGTTCCCTGTAGCGGGTTTACTCCCCACGCGACCTCTCTGTGTTCCTTCCACTGGGCTTTTGCCTCTAGCACATTCCTGCTTGGCGACTCCTGCTAGGCATCTCTCCGCGACCTATACCTGTCGAGGTAAAAACTGCCGCAACCATGCAAGTACACGTTCCCATCGACGTTGAAACGCCGATCGGAGAAAATCGCACCGGTGACACAGCAGGCGTGCGCAAAAAAACGGGGAAGACCGGCCGCACCATTTCCGAACCGATTACTGTGTCATCACGCCGATGAGACAACATCAAATTTAGATCTTCACTTCGGGCGAGATATGGGCGTGCTGCCGCACGTATGTCGGGGCCACCTTTGAGAGCTGTGAGGTTTTGTCCAAAAATTGCGTTGTAGGATGTGCCATGTTTGCTGTGCTACGGATACTGCTGCTGACCTGTAGATCGGCTGGCACCATGGTACCAGTAAGCCGATAGATATCACGCCTATCGGGGCAATCGCACCACCGGGACACATAGAACGTCGTACGCATATCTAGCACATGCAACGTCGCTGCGGTTTGTTCGGCATCGCACTGAGGGTGTCGTGGAAATGCTATGCATTCAGCATAGTGTACATCGACCTTGCAACACACGGAACACATTTCAGATTTCCAAATTGTATTTCCGCACCAATACCGGGGTGTCGTTCCCATCCGTCACCCATCGGGAGTACGGACGGCATTTGGGGTGCGACGAGAAGCAGCTAGACATGGTTGACGAAAGGACCGAACGAACCCCATTTTGCATTCGGGCGTATGCATACGATAGGTCTGATGGATGGAAGGAAGCCCTACGACCACCCTGGCTTGTATTTCAAGCACCGCCCTCCTGAATTTACAAGTCAAAAGTGTGTTCGTTCGTGTCAAAAAATTCCGCGTCTTGATCGTTTTCTTCGCGCTCGGAGTCACTCATCCTTACATCATCTCCCTCCTGTTCGGGAGCGTGTTGGGAAATGTCCGCTACCTTCGATTCAGTGTGGTTCGTCTTACAACCATAGCGTCGACCGAGCTAACCGGCGGAGCAAACGATAAAAGATTCAGTCGTGCAGCACGACGGGATTGAAAAAAGAAAACACGAATCATTTCTATTTTAGTCAACGATCGGACTTTGGCTAGCCCGGCAGGGACGGCGGTCGAGGTTGAACGGCAATGTCGCGCTTTCGGATTCGAACTGGATTTCGAAGGTACAGTAGACGAAAAGACTGCTGCTGTACTTGTGAACATCGTCGAGAAGCCCGCTGCTGCGTTATCTGGTATTCTCCCCTGTTTTTGTAGACACTTCCGCATAGAACAGCTAGAAAAGCTAGTTTGCGCTTGTATTTGCCCGTGGGCTGGCTTGACAGGTTTCAGCACGTTTTGGGCGATTTTTTCGGGACGAGACACGTTGTTCGGAAGGTCTACAACAATATCCTCCGAGCAGTTTCCGCCGTTGTCCACGGCTGTACAACATGCGTGTGGTGGGTGAGTGTCACATACTTCTAGATTCCATGATTTATTCTCGGGCAGTCGCCGGATTTGTGACAAGAAATTTTTTGGTGAGTAGGCATGCGAACGTACGTCGCCCGTTCAAGGCAGGCAATGAAACCATAATAGGTCCGTTCCACGGCCGCGAATGGATCGGAACCTGCATGAATGTCGATAAGCACTGCGGAAATTGGAGAGCGCTCAACCGTAAAGCGTAGGCGCCGGTGAAAAGCGGTCGCGATGGGCAGGGTCGTGGACGCAAACCGTTGACAAAATATTCAAACCAGAAAAATGCTTCCTACGCCAAACTGCGCCAAACAGCCACCAAAAAAAGCAAGGGGTGTTTTTTCAATTTTTTCAGGAACGGCAGCCCAAGCTCGGACAAATCAACGCGTGCCACTCACGCTCTCCGCACCCGCTGGGGCCAGAGCGAAAAAAACGAGTATATTCCTCATGAAACCGCAGGCCGCAAAAGCAACCAAGCCAAAGGAGACAAGAAAACGAAAAAAAAAAGACGAATCACCTGACTAATTTCTTGGGTTCCAACGATCACGGTCCCGTCGAGAACGCTCCTGCTGCTTCCGCCGCCGCGCTGTACTGAGAGCGCCAGCTTAATCCCACCACCACCGCCGCCGTTGTCAACTCCTCCCGCCCCTTGAGTTCCGTTGAGTAGCCTCGTTCCAGGCACGCCGTCCAACGCTCGCATTCCCTCGGCACCAGCAGGCAAGTCAGCAGCAGCAGCAGCAGCAGCAACAGCAGAAGCGGAACGGTGGTGCTGCTGCTGCGGCACCGCCCGCCGATTTGACAACAAGAGGGCGGAGGCGTCGGATCTTTCAACACCACCCGTGCCGCAGGCGTGGATTTGGTGATCCTCTGCTGGTGCTCCGGGAGTCCCTCGAGTTCCCTCCCCAACGTCGATCTTCATTCCAGGGTGACCCGCAGTCCTTCGGAGACAGACAGAGAGGACCGGCGCACACCCAGCGAGGAGAGATGGGATCGCCGTATGGTCAATGCGAATTTTGGAGAGAACGACGACGGGCAAAAACAGAGTGACCTAAAACTCGTTCACAGACTCAAACCAGCTATTTATTTAGGTGTGTGTGTGCAGAGAGAGAGCGCGCAATCTGCTGTTCCACGTTCCAAGGTGAAAATCGTACCAAAAATAAGTGCAAAGAAGGCGACACATTAAACTAGATGGCGTTGAAGCTTCACGACCACATATGTAGGATCCATGAGATCTCTTTGGCCACTCTTACTATCAGCCTCGTGAATGAGTTGCAATGGTATCCTTGACAACTAGCGAGCGCGAGCGCTGGCGTCTTTCTTACTGATGATCAACTTGGGAAGACAAATATTGCCGGAAAAAAAGTCGGAAAAAAAGCAGCCAGGGCACCTGCTGAAAAAATAACCTGTTTCGCGCGTGTGTCACGTTCCCGAAGTTTGAGGAAAAAACCTCTGTCGATGGGCCCTTGGCCTCAGGTTCAACTCACCGTGACTCTGGGTCCTCTGTGCGGCACGGATGCCAGAGCCGGTGTCCATGTCACAATGCCCCCTGGTGCAGCGATCTACCAGGCCCGCCCGCCCACCACGCTCGTAGCTCGGCCTAAAGAAGGCCCGTGCACGGCATGGAGTGTCGCTCGACCACGTGTCCCTGAGTCTTAGATGCAGGTGGAGGCCCGGAATAAAAATTAGTTATCCGTAGACTTTTTTGACCCGAACCAGGGGTCAGGAACGCTAGCTAGGAGCACCTGAAGGCTGTCGCGTCTGTCTGAGTGCTGCTCGGGGTCTCTTCGCTTCGCTATGGCGATCGGCCAGAGAGCACACGCAGGCCCATCGGGACGGCATAAAATCCGTTTTTTTTTTTTTCGTGCGGCCTGCAGCATATCCTGCAAGGGGTATGAACTTGTTGCGCTTTGCGGGTCCCCCGCTTCAATGTCACACTCTGCTGTCTGCCGCGCTGCTGCTGTGCTGGCTGCGCTCTGTTGTGCTTGATATCAACGAGGAACGAGGGGTGACGCCTGGCCGTGTGCCGGGGCTACCTGTTCCATCGATGCTACTTCCCTCCTGCCGTCTTGATCTCCTTGTAGCTGCTGGAAAATGGCAGCCATCTTGGATAATTTCTTCGAAGTTGCCTCTGCTGCGGCCATGTGGGATGTGTGTTTGAGAAGGAGAGCTCGCAGCGTCTCTTCCAACTTTACAGATGGTATCCACAACAGCAGCAGCAGCAGCAGCAGCGGCAGGCACAGGCAGAGATAGAGAAATGGCATTGGTGCGTCGAACATGTGTTGGCTGTCGATATGTGCGCCTTGTGCTGCTTGTGCATCTCATGCAGCTTGACATGCAGGGAACGAAAGTACAGCAGTACACGAAGAAGAGTAGAGATCCTGTGTGTGGGTGGAAGCGCAGCACAGCAGCAGCATCAGCAGCAGCAGCACTCCTTGCAAGTAGGCAAGGCGGATAACCACCTTTCCGTTCCGTCCATGCACGTCGCATGATGATCGCTGAGTTCCTCGGCGCCTGCAGGTTCAAGAAAACAAGCTTGATGCTGCACGGAACACACGAACAACCAACGAGAGCGATCGAACGATCGAACATACGTTGTATGACATCGAAAACCGTAACGGTACAACGAAACGCAGCCACCCAACATCTGCTCTGCATTTACCCCGAATACGCTTGGCCTTTGCAAAACTCCCACAGAGCAGCACAAAGTCGCTTGTTGGCAAGCGGCATCATGCGCGTCTGACGAGTGGTCGGCGGCCGGCCGGTGTGGTTGTCACGTTGGTGGCTGGGCGTCGAATCCCTCCCTCCGACTCCAAGCACAGACAGCCTCTCAGCAGGAAGGACACCTCTCGTTCTCGGAAAGTGATGTTTTCCCGTGCTCCAGCTCATCAGTGACAGACTCAACAGCAGGTCTCCTTCGTTCCTACATGGAGTCTAGTATGCTTGCAAAGTTTGTATACGCACCCCGTAGAGCAACTTTGACACGTAAAAACAACCGCACACAGGTGGACTGGCTGCAGTGATGATGGATGATGCAAGACACGACCTTCGTTGTACACACACGTGCTGTTACGGATATTGGTTGATGCATGTGGCGGCGGTGTGCACCAGACCTCCCTTTCCAACACCGACTTCCAAAGCTTGATCGCTCCGGAGGAGAAGAAGCGCCGGCGCCGGTAACGAGGGGGGAGGAGGGACATTTGAAGATCTAATCGAAAAATTACGAGCAACCAAAGTTCAGCATTGGCGCCGTCTGGTAAATGAGTGAATCCCGGCCCATGGCGGTCGGGTATACACTGCTGCTATGTCGTGCACATCCTTAGCTGCAGCAACACAATCATCGCATCTTCCGTCGGCTGCCACCGCCTGCCATACTGGGGTTGGGTATTGCTCCCTCATGTCTTCGACCTCTCGCGGGCGTTCCAGTGAAGTAGGCTTTCAAGCGGCTAAACCTCTGCGACGGTGTTGCTGTGGATCCTCCGCGGCAAGCCTGCATAGCTTGCCCTCCTTCGCCACCTGCTTCTTCTGCCCTTACTCAAGAGCTACGCGCGTGGAGCCTACTATGTAGACTACCGATGTATTTCGCACTAGAAAAATTGATGCTATTTCCTCGTAAAAATCCAGTACGTTGCATCTCGTGTACCCTTTCCTGTGCCCGGAAGCACACATGGTCACAGCCAGCACCGAAATTGGACGTCACTACTGCTGTAGATGCCCCAAGGGCACAAACGGTACATGACTCGAGCGCATAAACGGACCAACAAGCGGCTCCCGGATACCCGTCGTCCTCGTGTTGCGGCATGCAACAGGTCGAAAGCCACCCAACTATCGAAGCAGTTTTTATCCCTACGGGTGACTGCATTCTGCGGAATGTTGCTGTGACTGCACCTCTTTCGATCGACGGTCCCCATTTCGCAAGCTGGAGCGGAGGGCATCCGAAGTTGACGCGTGTTGACGGGCGGATTCCTGTTACGGTAACGCCACGGCAGTCATTCACGATCGATCACCGTATGTATCCACTATAGGGTGGCGATTAAAAGGAGAAGGCCAAAAGGACCTACTGCTGTGCACAGGATCGCGGCATGTAGACCATATTTCTATGGCAATGCTGGGAATCCGAAAGAGTGGAGAGGCGGGAGAAAAATTATGGGGGTAGAGGCATATGGCTACGAGGAAAAAGAGCGTTGGGTTGTTGTACGCAAAAAAAAAAACGCTCCGAACTCTGCCCCGCATCTTGTTTCATCATGATTCAACCAACGCGGGCGCCGCCCGTAGTCACGCCAGTTGGACTACGCCAAATAAGCTTTCACGCAAGACAAAACACGAAAAGAAGTAGAAAGGGCCCAAACACGCCACACACTCACGAAAGAAAAAAAAAACATTTTAGTTATTGGGCTTGTTAACGCAAATACGATCCACATGCCACTTTGTACTCCGGAAGCAAAAAACTTCTGTTCAAAATACCTCTGCTGCAGCTCTCCCTGCTTCAGCTTGCTCCAGCCGCTGCCTCAGCACGCCCACCTCGCCCGCTAGTTTGTCCCGCTCCTCGCTCAGCTCCTGGCGCAAGCACGCCTCCTTTCTTTCGAACATAGATTTCATGCCCAGCAGCTCATTCTCCACGTACCTGTACAACGAACACGCGCCGTGCGGGGGGGGTGGGTGAGGATACATATGAGTTCAATGCTGAAGCATTTCCTGAGCACTGACGACGCAGCAGCAGAGTGCCGTATAGCAAGCACACCACATGCTTGGAGGGGGGCTGCGGTTGTGGTTGGATCACAAACACATACGACAACACCAGTTTGGTGTATTCCATTCTTTATGGACAGGACGGCCAAAGGTATACGCTCACGATTTCTACCCCGTCATGCACCACAATGAATACCACCAGGTCCGAAGGACCACCCAGTGCATCTCGGCAAAAATAAAGTTAAGACAAACATGTCAAAGATGACCATATGTCACAGCAGCCGCTCCCAAACGGGGCAAAGACACGCCTCACGCACAGACACAAGCGTCCTTCGTGTCGCGGCATAGCTTGTTGACAAGGGCGACACAAGCGTCCTCCTTCCTTGCACAGCAGTAGCGCTTGCGGACGACAACAAGGGTGCAACTCGCCTCAGAGCTTGGTCCTTAGCCTCGAGCTGTGCCCTCAGCTCCTCCTCGACCGCCTTCGCCGCGGCCGTCACCGCCCCAACGGCGGTCAACTCTGTCGAACAGCTCCTCTGGCGCCGCCCACTGCCGTCCCGCGATGACTCACCTCCCTGCCGGTCGTCGTCGCCGCCTCCGCCGCCTTTACCGTCATCCTCGGATTCGTGGCGCTTGCGGTACCTATTTTTTTTTTTGCCGTGCGGTCCAGCGGCAGCGGGTGGAAGGTGAACAAGAGGCGATAGCCGAACAACGCAACCGAGCAGGCAGGCAATACCGAGCAGAAAACAATGAACACGTTTGTATCTACGTACAAGACGCGCCTCCGGAGTGGGCCCATGAGAGGGAGTTAGTACATATTGTCATCCAGGCGTAATGCAAGATGGAAGTAAAGCATGTTGGTGTGAATCAGCCGACGTCTCCCAAGCTCGACCAGGTCACACAGCTCACGTGTTTTCGACTCGAACGGACCAGCGAACCTCAACTAACCAATAATGAAAATATTCAAATCTGTATACAGTCTTACGGAGGAGTGCTACAGGAAGAATTCTGTGCGCAAAGAGCGGCGAGAGAGAGGGGTAGAGGCATGGAGGTGTCGTGCTTTCGGCAGTCGTCCGTAGAGAAACTGATGGCTAACCAATGAGGTATGAGAAAACCTGCACGACACCTAACGTCGTCGTGTCAACTGAAGGCCCGGTCGATGGCCTCAACACGCGCGCGCGTGAGAGGGGCGAGTTAGCCCTGCGTACCTTCGCAGCTCCTTGCACACCTCTCTCAGCTGGTCCTCCACGCCAGACAGCGCCACAACCTGCGGGAAGCCCGAGGCAGGCCGCACACACACGGGGAAAGAGCGGGTCCAGCGACAACCACGCGACCCTAACACAAAGGGTACATCGTCACCCAAAAGAGGTAACGCCCACATCAATCCCTGATGAAGCCACGCAGAGCAAGAAGGCCGCACGCAAGGCCCTGGATATCGTAGGCAGTGCGGCAGACACAGGGCGGCGGCGCACTACTCCAAGAGGCAGAGAGAGCAAACGACACGATCCACGTACAGGTACAACTCTTGCCGAATAGAGACACCTGGACCAAACATGGCAAATAACACGACAAGATTAAGACACCTCGACCAAACAAACACTTCAAATGACGCCACAAGCGCTAACTAACCCTGACCGTCAAGTACGGACAGACCGCGGTCAACAAAAATCGAGCGGCTCGCCTGCGCCTCAAGCTCCGACACCTCCTCCCTCGCAGCGTCCAGCCGCTGGTCGGACTCGGCCTGCTGCGCGTCCAGGCGGTCACGCCATGCCTGAGCCTCAGCCAGGGCGTCTCCCTCCCTCAGCCGCAGCTCCTTGATGAGCTGTTTTTTGTCCAAAGCGAAGATAAACAACAAGGCCACCGTGACAATAAAGGGCAAAAGCCAAGCGTTTCGTGGCCAGAGTACACGGGTGTGTGTGTGTGCCAGACATCGGGCAGGAAGGAAGGGACGTCCCTTAAGTTCGGCGGCTCGAGCGGGGATGTTGTTATCTTAACGATTCTGCGGATAACAGCACAAACTTCTTCTCCCTGTCTTGGCCGCCAATTCCAACAACACGGAAGCGCGACAAGGGCGCGGTACACCGAAGCATGTGTAAGAGCGCCAACGGAACGGAACAGGACGCTCCAAGAAAAGACAACAGCAATGACGGACGCCAAACAACAACAACAGCGATGACGGACGCCAAACAGCACGCCTGTGGCCGTTTGCACTTCGGGGGGAAATAAATAGGGAGCAGGACACAGCCCAGACAGCGCCGACTACACAACTCGGACTCGGGGATTGGTCGAATTTACGGGACATCCCCCCCCCCCCCCCCCCCCCCCCCCCCCCCCCCCCCCCCCCCCCCCCCCCCCCCCCCCCCCCCCCCCCCCCCCCCCCCCCCCCCCCCCCCCCCCC